CAAGAGCTACGGGGCGCTGAGCCCCCGCGCCAGCCTGCGGCAGAGCCACCGCTACGACGCCTCGCTCACCATCGCCAACGTGGCCCTGGAGGACGAGGGCCGCTACCGCTGCCAGCTGCTCAACGGGCTGGAGGACGAGAGCGTCCTGCTCATGCTGCACCTCGAGGGTGAGCGGCGGCTCCTCTGCCATGCACGGGAAGCAGAGCACGGGGAGAGCGGGACAGGGCTTGGCGTGTCCTGGTGCCTCCCAGCTCCCGGTGGTTCCCAGCTCCTGGTGGGTCCCAACTCCCAATGGGTCATAGCTCCTGGTGACTCCCAGTCTCCCACTTCCTAGTGGGTCCCAGCTCCTGGTGTCTCCCAGCTCCTGGCGTCTCCCAGCTCCTGATGACTGCCAGATCCCAGTGGGTCCCAACTCCCAGTGGGTCCCAGCTCTGAGTGGCTTCCAACTCCTAGTGGATCCCAACTTCCAGTGGGTCCCAGGTCCTGGTGGTTCCCAGCTCCCAGTGGCTCCTAGTTCCTAGTGGGTCCCAGCTCCTGGTGGCTCCCAGCTCCTGGTGGCTCCCAACTCCTAGCGGGTCCCAACTCCCAGTGGGTCCCAGGTCTTGATGCCTCCCAGCTCCCAGTGCCTCCCAGTTTCTAGTGGCTCCCAGCTCCTGGTGCCTCCCAGCTCCTGATGACTCCCAGCTCCCCTTGGCTCCCAGCTCTTGGTGGCTCCCAACTCCTGGTGTCTCCCAGCTCCTGGTGGCTCCCAGTTCCTAGTGGCTCCCAGCTCCCCTTGGCTCCCAACTCCTGGTGGCTCCCAGCTCTTGGTGGCTCCCAGTCACTCCCAGCTCCTAGCGGCTCCCATCTCCCAGTGGCTCCCAATCCCAGCTTGCTGGACACCAGCCTCCCCCTCAGCACCCAAGGGGGATCATCAGCCAAATCCTCCTGAGGGAAGAGGCTCCCTGACACCCTGCACCTCTGTCCCCCCACCCCAGGCGTTGTCTTCCCCTACCAGACCAGCACCGGGCGCTACCAGTTCAACTACCACGAGGCCAAGCGCGCGTGTGAGCAGCAGGACTCACGTCTGGCCACCTACCAGCAGCTCTACAGAGGTGCAGCCCAAAGGGTGCCCCAAACCCCCTTCCCGCCCCAAAAAACCCTCCCCGGTAGGGAATGATCCTGGTGGCACCGGGAACCCCTCACCCAACGCGGGTGGTTTTGCCCTCCCAGCCTGGATGGAGGGTCTGGACTGGTGCAACGCGGGCTGGGTGCTCGACGGCACCGTGCACTACCCCGTGATCAACGCGACCCCTGCGCCGGCCGCTCGCTGCTGCCGGGGCTGCGCACCTACGGCGCGCGGGACAAGCAGCGGGACCGCTTCGACGCCTTCTGCTTCACCTCCGCCCTCAAAGGTAGGACCCGAAACCGGGAGAACCCCCCATTGCACCGGGCTGACGCCAGCAGGTCCAGGGAGGGGATCCTGCCCCTCTGCTCAGCCCTGCTGAGGCCACATCTGCAGGACTGTGTCCAGTTCTGGGCTCCACAGGACAAGAGGGATGTGGAGCTGCTGGAGAGAGGCCAGCGCAGGGCTCCGAGGATGATCAGGGGCCTGGAACATCTGCCCTATGAGGAGAGGCGGAGGGAGCTGGGCCTGTTCAGCCTGGAGAAGAGAAGGCTGAGAGGGGACCTGAGCAGTGTCTAAAAGTGCCTCAAGGGAGGCAGTGAGGAGGATGGTGCTGGCCTCTTTTCACTGGTGGCCAC